TATAGTAAATTCGTTTTGTTTTCTCGCAAACATAACACACAGGTCCACTTGCTTTTATTCCGATTCTACGAAGAGAAATACGATCGACGGCTTGTTTCACCATTCACAGCTACACAAGGGAATAGTCAAGACACAGAACATGCTTGTGGAGCTTTCACAACTAGACAAGATAGTATCAGTAGCATATATGTCAAACTTGAAACTTGAATTCAAGTATTCAATTATTGAATACTTGAAGTTCAACTATTCAAGTAAAAGGATTTACACCCGCAGACGCTCATACATCACGACCCCAGGTGTGGGTGTGGTGAAGGGACTGGTAGAGTAAAGGACTCACACCCACACTCACACTTTGAATAGTTGAAACACCTTTTCAATAATTGAATTCAAGTTTCAAGTTTGACACTACTGGAGCGAGTGATGATCGAGTTAGGTCATTTAGAATATATTTCGATAAACCATCACTTTCGGACCGGAGAAAGTCATGAATGTGTAATGATGAAGTTATGTTATATACGTGTTCTATTTTCGTGATAAGTAGATAAATCATCATTTTCGTACCTCCGTATGTTGTTAGAATAGATTAGTATATTAGGGAAATGTAGTCTCATATCGGTATAATAAGACTCTGATTTTTTGAATTAAAATGAGATTTAGTTTTACTATTTTACCACGCTAAGATTTAATAGCTGTTTAAAGCTATTCTGTACGATTGATAACAACGTCTCAGTAAATAAATCGTTACAAATTTATCTTGGTTTGATTATTATTTATTCCACCATGAAATAATAAATTGGGCGTGCTTCTAACACGATGATGACCTGTTTCTTCACAGATCATGACAATGATATATTTCTGTAGGTGCTAATGTATATGAAACAACCAACAAGATCAACCTTTTATCAATTGTTTAACGTTTTTGATATCAACGATTTATTTTATTTGGAAGACAATTGTTTGCAAATGTGATAAATACTTATATTGTTGATGATGATTCATGATAGCAAGACGAAAGAATTTCACATGATTATAATTACATAGCTTTTTTTAATTTAAAGTTTTTTGTTATCAATATACACATTTCTTATTGATATACTAAAAAATAAAAAAAATGATGATAATAAAATAAATAAAAAGAACTTCTCTTGATTAATTGAATAAATAAATCTTTGACGAATTTCTTCTCATCAGACATGTTTCACGGACAAAAAAGAGAAATACTTTCAAATAATAAATTTAAAAATAAAAATATACATTAGTAAAAAAAGAAGAGAGTAAGCATAAACAAAAGCATATTTACATGCTAATTACATGGTATTTGAATAAGCTATATGCATATGATATACATAATGAATTTTCAAAAAACATCTTTTTAATAACACTGGGTATGAGAGGAGAAGATTATTAAATTTATAAGCCATACATAGCTTTTACATTTACATTGGAGGAATGAATATATGAAAAGATATTTTGATTAGGATCATTTGTGGGTTTTGATAAATATATCAGCTGTAGCTACAGTAGAGCACATGTCGGATCATATGTGCGCTGAAGATTTCGAGGTGGAAGGTATGGATAATCTGTTTCGAATATTAAACGATCCAGAAGAAATGGTGATCGTCTAGCTAACCGATTTTGGAACTTCAGAAAATTTTCGGTATTCGGGTCTGGGTATGTCGGTTAAGAAATGACTCACATTCACCCACACCCACATAAAATCGAATTATTCTTTTTTTTTTTGATAAATTTTACTTGACTAGCTTCCGATGAAATATTTCGTGAAACACCAGGTATACTCCATTTGTTAGAATTAATCAGTGCATGAATTACACTTTCACCTTGTTGACCAGTTGCATCAACAACAATAATTATCAGTCTCAGTTTTTTTTCTTTCTCGTAGTATTCGACACTTGAGATAATAAGTCATGTTAAACACCGATAAGTCTTATGATTAATCAGCAAGCAAACACAAAGTGATATTTTTCTTCTTTTTTATTTAGAAGTTTCTTGTTGTGTAAAGCAGTGCACTATGTAAGAATAATAATAGTTTAATAATAACTGAAAATAATTTTCTTTTAAACATGAAGAGTTGTGAGTATGAGCAATCCAGATTATCAATCGGACAACGTTCGTTCTTCAGCAACACCATCACGTCTTCAACAACTACAAGAGCAAGTTGATGAGGTATAGATAATATGAACATATTTATTACTTAGGGCAATCCAAAAGTAGTGGTGGAGGTACTTTATTTTCTTATAGAAAGCTTTAGAAAAAAATTCTTTTTTTATGACGTGATAGAGAAAATAACGTTCTATTTTTCTATGCTATTTGATCCTTATTCAACTAATATCATAATAATGAAATTGCTATGACAAGGATTTTTGTGTAAAACTAGCTGGTAGCAATAGTTCATATTGTCATTCATGCGTGTTTTATTTTCGCTTTTTCTTTGTTTTTCTCTTCTACTTTATTTCATTTTCTGTTTCTCATCTCTTCTAATTATTAGTCGTCCATATATTTTACAGTGTACAAAAAATAATGTTGGTGAAACAGAAAATAAATACAGAAACCAGGTCAATAATTGTTTATTTTATCAAATGTTCAAAATAATTATCTTGGTTATCTACACACCATTGCATTGTTTGAATCCATTTCTCAAAGGTTTTTCTATATTCTTCTCTATTCAAGGAATACCTACAATTGGTCACGGCATCATATAATGATTCTGAATCACTTTGATCGGTCAGCGTTTCTTTGATTAAGTCAAATAACCACAAGTCACAGGTTGCTAAATCTGAAGAATTAGGTGAATGTGGTACTACTGTGAGACCTTCAAATTCAACATATTTGAACATATCTTTATGAATATTTGGTTTTCCATTATCGTAGTGAATTTTAATACCACCGGTCTCATATGAGAATCTTTGATGCTTGATTTCATCGACGCGAGATCGTAGACAATTTTTGATGTAATACTGGTGGCCAATAATTTGTTCACGTTCGATACGATGAATGAAAACAGTACCATTTGACATTAAAAAAATGAAAAAAGATTCTTGGAGCAAACTTATTGCATCAAACCACAATAGGTGGAGGGTCTTCTCTTCTCACCGACGCTGCATTAGATGACTTTCGACCGATTTGTTTATGATAAAACCACGACTTATCACCAGTTGTTAGATCAAATAAATGCCATGTTCCTGTTTGAAGTTTTGCTAAATTTTGCTTGTATATTTGAACTCGTTGAGCTCGTTGAAAATCGGTCACATCCTTGGGTATATAACGAGCGGTACTCTTCTTAAGTTTTAATTGATTGATGATGATTCGCTGAATGATGCAGTAACTTAAATCAGTTTGCTGTTGCACTTCTTCTAGTGTAATGTAACGATCATCATTGATAAGAAGGCGGCCCTGTTCAATATTTTCAGACGTTGTTTCAGTAATATGCCTGCCAGGGCGTGCTTCATCTTCTATTTCTTCTCGACCTTCACAAAACAGCTGGGACCATCTTTCAACTGTTCTGAGAGAAGGAGCTTGAACACCATAAACCAAATAAAATTCATCGTGAATAATTACTCTTGTTTGAAGGTTAAGTGTAGTATGTACTTTAATGTAGAAGCGAAAGTTTTTTGTACTCATCTGAAATAGGAGAATAGTGTTAAAATTTAACCTAACTTTATGGTTTTGACTTTCTTGAATATACACGAATAAACGACACGTACACACAAAACAAACAAGACAGACGCGTTAATTTATATGTATGTATGGGCGAGTAATTATTAGAGAAGATGAGAAAAAGAATATTAAATAAAAAAGAAGAGAAAAACAAAGAAAAAGCGAAAAGAAAATATGCATGACTGACAATATGAAATATTGCTACCAGCTAGATTTACACAAAAATAGTTGTTATAGGAATTTCATTATTATGACATTAGTTGAATAGAGATCAAATAGTATAGAAAAAAAACGTCATTTTGCTTATCACGTCATAAAAAAAGAATTTCTTCTAAAGCTTTCTATAAGAAAATAAAGTACCTCCACCACTACTTCTGGATTGCTCTAAGTATTTCATATTCAATGTTCATATTATTAGGCTGCAGATGTTCTGAGAAATAATATTCGATTAAGATTAGAACGTGATGCAAAACTTGATGATCTTGAATACAAATCAAGTAATAAATTTCAAGAGAAAAATTATATGATGAATTTTTTTAATATTTACATATAGACATACTAGACGAAACTTCTCAACAGTTTGTTATCCATTCACGAAAAATTAACAAGAAACAATGGTGGAAATGGTTGCAAGTAATGTTTTATTTTCTATTAAAAAATGAAATTATTTTTGTAAATGGAATATTTTCTTCTTTTTTTATGCATAGATATTGGTTGTTCGTCGTATTGTTGTTGCTATCATTATCATAATCATTATCAGTAAGAGAGTGATCTTAAGATTATTGTTTAGTTTATCATCTTTAATTTCTTTTGTTCTTTTTAGTTGCGGTTGTTCTTAAATTAAAAAAGCAAATGTAGATGAAAAAATGTTGACATAGACTACTTGTAATAATCATATACACTTCACAGTTTTCTGCTTTGGATGTGGGCGTGTGGATGTATGGAAGGGGATGTGCGTGTTGTGGGTGTGGATGCGGGGTGTAGGTATTGTGTGGGTGTGGGTTCGGATGAAGAGAAGACGTGAGCCCACACCCCACACCAACACCCCCGTTGTTACAATAGAATAATATGTCAAGTTGAAATCAAATTGGTATTGACCAATAAATATTTTACATAGCGTTGAACGCAAAAATAAATATGATGACAAATATTTTATCTCTATGTGCATGATGTGACATGTTTCAAGTAATTACTCAACGGTGATTATTTTTTAATATAGCCAACAATTGTTTAAGAATATGCAAAAGAGATTCGATACCGTTGAATTATTATTAAATTCATCGTGATTTATAGGTTTACATCAACCTTAATTCAGTTTCGATTTCTTATTGTGTTGAATTTTCTAGTACTATATTTTCAAACTTCTAGGCTTTTTATGTAGATCAATCAGTTTCTTACGCTTCTATACCGACACAGATTGGATTCTGCAGATCTCATATTGATTTATTGTAAACAGGACAGATCAAAATTTATACGAGAAAAAGAAGTTGTCGCATATCGTTTATAATTCTATGTTATATTTTTTTTAATTTTCTAAAACCATTTTCCGTACGAAACAAAATCGAACACGTAATAGATTAAATTGTTTCATCAAAAGTAACAATCGTCATATATAGACAGTATTTGGGAAAAAGATGTTTGGCTTGATTGTTTATTTTAAAATTTTGTAAAGTACAGTAGAAACATATCCCAAGCTAAATAGAAAAACATTTGACTAACTAGAAGCAATGGTTTGTTTCGGAAGAAGATTTTCAGTATTCAACTTGAATCTTATTCATTCAAAGTTAGAAAGATTATTAAACACACTTTCTTCAACTAATCTCTGTTATTCAATATAAATCAAACGTAATTTATGTTGATATTTCTCAGTTTGAGTATTTCATTTATCGTTGTCTAACCTGAGGGTATGGGTAAGGAGGAGTAACACATCCAAACCCGCACGCACGCCAACACCCACATAGTCACACCAACCTTCGAAATTCAAAAATCTCAATATGATAATATTTCACTGCGTATTTCTGACTTTAGTAATTACAATTTTGTTTTATTCATATATTTGACAATATTTGATAGTAGATTATTAATTCTTTGAACAATGTACGAGAAATTTATTATAGTCAAAATCCGCGAGTTCCACACTTTGACCTCCCCAGAGGCCTCTCTCATAAGTTTTTTTTTCTTTAGGTATTGACGTTGATGATGTTTCATTAGTTATTAATTATGATATGCCAGTCACAACTAATTTTAAACATGATTATGAAACACATCTTCATCGAACAGGCCGTTATGATCGTTTTGGTAAATTAGGTAAGCTAAAAATATTTTTTGTTTTATGGGGGTGTGGATGTGGGTGCGTGTCAGTGTGGGTCGTCTCTTCATACTCACACACCCACATCCACACCCCAGCCACACCCACACCCTGAGTCAGATTTAATACTGGTGCCAGGAGAAGCTAAATATTTTTGAGCAAGTGTTGTTAAATTCGGGGTGTGTGAGGGTGGTGTGGGTGTGAGCGAGGGGTGTGGGGTGTGAGGGTGTGAGTGTGAGGGTGATTATCTTCTCTTTCCCATCACCCTCACCCTCGAAATAAAAGAAAAGAGAAAAAACAAAAGATTAATTATCGTCAATAATCATCATATTTAATCAATCTAACAAAAAAAAAAAGAAAATCATAGAAAATTTATTCAGTGTGTTGTTGTTGAACATCTTGAAAAGAAATTAAATATCGTTTCATTTGTTTTAAAAAAATATTTAACATATCTGTTAAACCGTTTGATTCAATATGTTCAGCAGCATCGGGAATTTTTGATATAATTTCTTTTAATTTATTTGATGTATCACTGTCCATACAACGTTCAAAAGATTTTTGTAAAGCATTTAAATCTAAACATGCTTGCATACCACCAGCATTACTAAATTGATTTATCTTAGAATATAATTTCGATAATTCATTAACTAATGTTGATAATATACGTGATAAAACAATAAATACTAATGGACTACTTATTGAATAAACTTCAGCATGTACACGAGCTAAATCAAGTATTATATGTTTAACATAATCTTTAACAGATATAACACGTGTATGTGTTGCCCAATCAAATCTTCCGGCATACATACGAGATTCTAAACGATGTAAAAATGGACGAAAATATTCATTTTTGACGATATCTAATAATTGTTCAACGTCACGTTTATAGATTATTTCAATTTTATCATAAACATGATCCATATCATGAAAACCATAATTAAGCAAAATCTTTTTCAAGCGTGGAACAATAAAACGACGTGTATATGAAAAATTGTTTAATATTATAATTAAACGAAGAGTTTTAGATAAATGTTCAGATGATGTTATTATTATCGTTGAGGTTGATAATGTTTCCATTGAATTTGATGTTGTTGATGAACAATCTTTAATTAAACATTTAAATACCGATGCAAAATCATTTAATAAACGGCATACAGCTCTATCTGCTTGTCTTTTTGCTTCCTTATCTTCAAAAAACTGAATAAATAAAAAAAAGAATATTTTTTAAAGTAATATATTTTTCTTAACTTTTCGTTCGCCTTTTGTTACATTAAATAGAGAACATTTTCATCTATTATATTGGCTTTTTGTACAATGATATCATAAAATAAATTTGGTAATTTTGTATGAAAACCAAGTTGTTCATCATATTCTAATTCCCATGTTTCTTGTGTATTTAATCGAGATACTTCTACGAAAAGAAAACAGAACAATACAAAATCATCGTTACACAGTCCTAACCGATCGAAGTTTTTTCTGATACGAATTATCCTCTTGTCGTTCGTCGTATATCTCAAGGATAAAAAGTTCGAGAACCTTCCGACTGTTTCCTATTATCGATTTATTTAACTTACCTAAACAAGCATAATCTATAATAACTTGAAAACATTCTAAACGTAAATCAAACATAAGTTGTTGTAGATCTTTTTTAAAATCAGGTTGAATATCAAGTGAAACAAGATGTAATACACATAAACTATATAGAAGAAATAAGAGCGACAATAATGAAAATAATTTTCAAATAATTACCGACAATTTTGTACACAATGTGGTAAGGTTTTAAAACGTTGATCAATTTCGTCATGATTTACATATAAATTATCTTCTTGTGATGATGTCGAATTAGATGTTGGTGATGAACGATTTAATAAATTAAGACGAATAATACTTATGAATGTTTGAATAATTTCTTTTGTTAAAGTCTATAGGAAAGGAATTAATATTAGAAGATACTATCAAAAATATTTACTAGAAATTCTGATGCTTTATGTGTATACGTTCGATCGATTTCTTCCGATCTCTAGAATATTAAAGAATAAACAAAAACAAGTTTGTTTTTATTTACTTCAGATAATGGATAAAGTCTTTTTCTTAAATATAATTGTATTAAATGCCATAAATGAGAAAAAGCTGTTGCAAGTACATGACATGCTTGATCATGACCTCTTATATTATATGCTAGTTAACAAAAACAAATTGAAATTTCTTTTTCTAAAGTAATTCAAAGATTTACGCTGTTGTTGTTGTTGTGTCCTGTGATGTACAACACATGAATGTAAAACATGAATGAGTGCTGCTTTTTGATGAATTATACAATCCCATACTGAATCAACTCTTGGATCAAGTGAATATAAATATCGAATAAATAATTGTTGATTATCAATAGATGATGGAAATTCTGTAAGACGTTGTCGAAATAAAATACGTAAATTTTGAATTTGTTGTTCAATTTCTTGTTGAACTAAAAATGAAAATAATTTATATAATATTTACTTTTTTAAATAACATACTATTTCGAAATACCCTTGAATTAACTTTTTCAAATGCTGTACGAGCTCGTACAAGATCATTTATTACTTTTTCATATTCTTCCTGTAGAAAACCAAAGCAATCTTTTAAATTCTTTTTTTATATTTAAATATACTCGTTTGACACTTCGTTCAATTGTTTGTGGTAAATGAAATAGAAATTGATATCTTTGTATAACATTTAATGCATTACAAATTTTATCTGAATATTCTTTTCGTGCTAAATCAGTATCATACATGGAATGAGCTATACGAGAAATTTCTATAAAAAAAGAATTAAGAGATTTATTCAAATAAAAAAGAATTAAAAACCTTCAACTAATTTTATAACTGATTCGTAAAAATCCTTTTTTCGGTCTTCAGATGAAATACCTCGAATATCTGAAAAAATAAGAAATATTTTTCTTTTCAAAGAAACGAACCTTTCATTATATCAACAGCTTCCATAAATGATGCGATATTATTTTTAACAAATGTTATTAATGCATCTTTATTATCAGATTGTGTTCGATGAAGATAATCGAAATTTGTACGTAATTCATCAAAACTATGTTTATTAAATTGAGAAGAATGCATTGATTAATGAAATATCTTTACTTAGCATTCGATTTATGAGCAAGTAAATAATAATATGGATTGAAATTTGGTTGAGTTATATCGGTACTACCTGAGAAAAACAGTCATATTAGAAAAAAAAATATCTTGATTTAGTATCGAGTTTTTTGTTAAAATAAAGTTGTCCTGAATAGCGAAAAGATTATTCTCGTTGTTCGAGTACTTTTAAAATGAAGTTTGTATGTCAGCGCCAATTGTTTCATTAAACACAAATGGCATTCATAATTTCTTATAAAATCTTTCTCTTCACTCTTTTCATCCATTCATCTCTCGAACTAAATTCTCATCTAAAACTCCATTACTCAAATCCTTATTCCAACGCCGAAAAATTCTAGATGATACTGCAAAAAGTGGTGCTGTTGAACCAAAATCACCAGCTAGTGATAATCTCATTAACTCAACGATCAACTGCATATTCTCGATTATTTACGACAACAATCACAAAAATATTTAATAAATGATGAATTAGGAGAAGATTGTTCAATTAAAGATACAGTTTCATCAAAATCTTGTTCCAAAGCTGGTCTTATTGCATTAATTGTTGCACCAACGGGTATATTAGGTATAATCGGTGCTTTTTTATACAAGAAAATCAGACTAATTCATCATCAATGAATGATAATAGAGGATTTTTTAGTAATTTTTTTAGTGAAAATTCTAATGTAATTATAAAAAAATAAATTAGAAGATATTTATATTTACTTGTTGGAAACATTTCGTAAAGTTCTTCAATTGGAGTTGCATTTCTAAACAAAAACAAGTAAAGATAAAAGATTTTGAAAAATGAATTAACTTACGAACTATCACCTGCTGATACATTGAGTACATCACTACAACTAGGTAATAAAGCTGGTGCTTTTGAGGTATTTAAACCAAATAAAGCTACTGCATCTTCTTCAATCCATACAGCTACTTCTTCAAATTGTCCTGTAAAAAATTTAAAAGAAGTTTTTTTTCTTCAAAGAGAAAATAATTATTGATTTACCTGCTTGTTCAACACGTCCATAAAATCTAACTGAGCATGTGCCAGTTCCTCCACTTTTTGTTGTAACAATAACATCACCGTTACCTTGACTATTACCAGCATAAGCAATTATTTTATTTGGGCTAACCCAGGAAGCTGTTGCTCGACAATCATCACCACATATTTTTAAACCAATAAAATCTTTTTCATCAAGACCTAGGTTTTCACCTCGAATAGTTATTTTTATACCAGGACAACCTACTCGAGGTGATATACCAGTTACAAGAGGCGGAGCAATTTAATATTTTTCAATTGATTTCTGAAATAATAAATTTCATATCATGAATCAGTATTGCATTTTGAATGCTGTAAACCGATTAACCAATCATATACATAAGATGCGGCTAATTCAAAATTTGAACACTCTTCATTTTTTGCTTAAATGTACATCATTAGATTCAGTTTTTGCTGATGATTACGAACATGACCTTATTTTTTTTGATTTGACGAAATTTTCTTTGAGAAAATTGCAATATGCTAAGCAGGTGTCAAAATCGGTAAAAAAAGCCTTCTTCTAGGAAATCTACGCTCAATTCTTTACCATTCCATTTTTCGCTTTTCTCGATAT